GCTAGGTTGAAAATCTCGAAAGAGGCGGCCTAGGCTAAAGTTAGGACATAAAAAAAAGTCACCCAATCTGAATTATGGTATGACTTGATCCTCTTCACCGGGGTACGTAGGCAGCTTAGAGTTTCATTCTAAGTTCAGTTGCATAAGTTCAAAAGATACATATTGCCCCAATTGTTTTTCGAGTGAAGTATGGAGGAATGCAAAATCAAGCTGAAATGTCATTCTCCTGTTGAACTTTGGTCTCATTTGATTTAAAGGGGGCAACCCTCCTTGGTAAAATTGATATCTTCAATGGGCCAATTTTAGAAGAATGTCAAGTATTTGCATTAAAGTCCAGGGATTCTCTATGTCTTCAGGTTCGCCAAACCTTCAAGTTTGTTGGTCTCCAAGTCCACCATCTGCCTAAAAAAAGGAGGGGAGGGGGGAAGAGAAGCGAGGCGTCAAAAGGAAACACAAGTATAAGGAAATGATTGCTTGGCGCAACGTTTCAAATTCAGTGAGACTTGAACTCAAAATATTTGTGAGAATATGGCTCTTAAATTTCGATTGATGGCAAGTAAGACATCTTCCGATCTCGAGACTTCCATACCAAGGTATGAATTTTTGTGAGACTGCGCAAACCTGGAATTGATAGCGAAGTGCAATATAAAGTTGGTTTCAAAATATTATTTGGGACGATTTTGAAATTGTTTGATTTAGAATTTTGGATATGCTCTAGATCTTGAAGTCTAGTTTTCTTGAAATCAAACGGTTTGCAATTTCGATATTTTTAGATCGAGATATGAATTTTTTTGGGTAAGACTGCACAAATCTGAAATTTTCAATGTGGTGGGATCTAAAATTGGTAAGACTGCACATTGAGAGTAATCTCTCCAGTAGTCGGGTCACTTTGAGAGTAATCTCTCCAAGAATCGGGCCATACTGAGAGTAATCTCTCCAAGAATTGGGCCACATTGAGAGTAATCTCTCCAAGAATCGGGCTATTTTGAGAGTAATCTCTCTGGTAGTCGGGCCATGAAAGTAATCCCTCCGATATTTGGGCAGGGATGAGTACCCATCCCCTCACACCCCAAGATTATCTTCTTCATGCGTGGATCATCTTGTTGAACAAGAACATATCATTCTCGCTTGACCTACAAAAAAAAAGGAACAATAAGACAAGAAAAGTATAAGAAAAGAAAAAGAAATTACCTTCGCGCCAATGCTTCCGAGTAGTCAAACGTGGACACAAGGTAGCTTGCAAGTGGAAGATATTGATATTCACGATTGGAGAGCATGCGTCTATATATACAAGTGCCGAGGATGGCTTGCAAAGGCATAACACGATGTGGGAATCAGTAATATGATATGTCTCCTAGAAGGATTTGGTTACTGACGGCAGGTTAATCTTTGGTCAGTATCAATTCGGCCACTTTGAGTTGAAGTAGGATTTGGAAATTTGCAAAACACTTCGTGTACAATTAGTAATATGTGGACGACAATTGCTTATACAAATAGAATTGTTTCCATCAAGATGGCCACGTAAAGAATTTCTATGTTGAATAAAAAAAAATAGAAAGTCTCTTTGTTGCAAAGAGCAAAAAGAGTTTCATTAATATCCAACGTAACTGATGGTTGGTCATTACATATATTCATACAATCCAAGTAACATGTTAGTACTTTTCTTAATTCAAGGAAAGTGAGGATTCTATTTCGGGATAGCTTTCAAGTAATATATATATTACGTGTATTTCAAGTTATTCCTTGAGTCTCGATCAGTCTACGCTATGATAAGCCTTGAAGTAGGGAGCATTTGTAGGCATATAAATTTTATTAAACTTAAATTCATAAAATAATTTGGACTATATTTTAAATTCAATAAATATTGGTCCAAATAAATATATGGGCTAATATAATTGAATTAATTATATAAGTCCAATATATATGGATTAAATAAATAAATCTTAATCCATTGGGCTAGCCCATTTAATTGGGCTAAAGTGATGAGCCCACTTTATTAAGCCCAAGATGTCATCTTCCTAGAGGCCCAGTTTGGTGTCACGTGTCAAATGATGTGGCGCACCAAGTAAAGCGGAAGAGCCAATAGGACCATGCCACGTGTCAAAATGACAAGGCATGTCCAGTCACGCTAAAAGGCCAATGAAATCGCGCCACGTGTGCAAGTGACATGTTCTGGCCAATCAAATGCAGCCATGTCACAATTTAATTTGATTGGTCGGAAAGAGTTTATTCTTATCACAACTCCTCCCTTCCACAACTATAAATATGGGTCTTCATAACTCAGAGAAGATACCAGAAGTTATAACAAGAAGCAAGAAAGAACAAATTCCTCCAAATTCCTCCCTTGTGGATCAAACGCTGCAAATTCCTCCACAAATTTCAAGCTTCAAGCTTCAAGTTCAAGAAATCAAGTACAAGTTCAAGAACGAAGAACAAATCAAGGTCAAGTTAAAGCAATCAAGTTCAAGCTCAAGAACAAGATCATCGTTCAAGGCAACAAATACATATTCAAGATCAAGCTCAAAGACCCTTGAATTTATTTACTATAGAAAAGTAGAATCAGAGGATTCATAGAGATTGTAACATTCAAATATTTAAAATAAAATACTACGATTATTGCGATATTTTTCGGTCTTGATTTTATTTTCTCGACGCAAATTTATTGTCTACAGATTCCATTGCCTAATATTTAGAGTCCGGAATCTTCTAAGTTTTGCCATATATTTTACCCTCAATAAACTTTTTTCTTTCCTTATTATATTGGAACATATATAGAGCATGTTTGGATTAGCCGGGAAAAAGTAGCTTTGTGCTTAAAAGCAGCTTTTAAGTGTTGAAACTTATTTTATAAATAAGCAGTTACCTGTTTGGATAAAAGTGATGAAGCTTAAAAAAAGCTGTTGAAGTGTTTGGTAAACAGTGCTGGTAAGAACTTTTTTTTGTTAAAAAAACAGAAATATCCTTAAAGTTGTTAACATTATAAAAGGAGCTGATTACTACAACATATTTGATTTATAAGTAATGCAAACAAAAAATAATTTATATTTTAATTTAATTTTAATTTAAATAATTACTTAAGATAGTTTTTTTATTTGTTTGCCAAGAAAATAAAAAGAATAGTTTTTGCTTTGTATATATTTGTATGAGAATCTAATTGATCAATTGCTTTTTTTTCTTCACTTGCCTCAAAAAGTGCTACGACAGAAGTCAATTGCATGGTTTAAGTAAATTTAACTTTATGTGGATTGGATTATATAAAAGGACTTTTACTTGTTCTGATGGAGTTAGTGGAAGCGTTTAATTTGTTAGAAATTAAAGTTTGTTAGAGGGAGTTAGTTACCGTGCACGTCTATGAGCAGCATAAAGCATTGGTAATAATTCGAAGTCAATTGAAGTTATAGATTTGAATTCCAGTCAATTGAAGTTATAGATTTGAATTCCAGTCAATTGAAGTTATACACTGATTTCTCAAATTATATAAAAGTTAGGTCATTATATGCATATTTCAAAGAACGAAACAAATAACATTTCTTAATTGGAATGTAAAATAATAAATATTAGTGTTTTAAAAGATTCATACAACTACAAGTATCAAGCTTCACAAATTTCATTAGCAATCAAATCGCGAAGACCCATCCAAACAAGATCACTTTGCTCTTCCATATTTTCCGCATTTATATTGTTATTAGCTCTCAAATATGTACCAACATCAGGATCAATAGATGGAATATATCTCTCATTCTCAGCTGCTCGGAACGCATCATCCATATTGCATTTCTTTCTGATATAGTTATGAATGACCATAGTAGCAAGTACGATGTCTCTTTGAGTGTCAATGTGATAAAAAGGCATGTCTCGCAAAATTGACCATCTTGCTTTCCAAACCCCAAATGTCCGCTCAATAATATTTCTACAAGAAGAATGCAAATAGTTACATTTTTCAATTCGCCTTCTGGTTCTCGCAATTGTCTTGTTGCACCGCGGCGGAATTGTGCTAGGTGATATCTCACATTATCTCCTTTGTATGGAGCCATATATCCCTTCATGTGAGGATATCCTGCATCAACTAGATAATACTTATTTCCAATTGGACGTGGAAAGTTAAGTTCTGGTCTACGAAGGGCCTCACCAAATATACAACTATCGTGAGCTGCTCCTTCCCACCCAGCCCATGCAAATATAAAACACATATTAAAATCTACGACAACAAGAATATTTTGAGTCGGATAACCTTTACGTCCAATATATGGTATCTCTTGACCTTGCGGTAATCTTGCTTTAACATGTGTGCCATCAAGTGCTCCAATACAATCCTACATACATTTATAAGTATAAATTTAACTTAAGCTAGTAATACTTATAAAAGTTAAGTTATAAGTTTAATAAAAAATAATTATGTAAAAATATTTCTTACTCTAAAGAAAGGGAGATATCGACCATTACATGGCTTGTGAGCTCCTGCACTATCATTATAATTTTGATGTGGTCTAATTATATCTCTTGCAAGCTCACAAATCGCCTTTAAAACACTATGAAAGTGTCAATGAATTATTTCTCCCGAATGTTGAAAGATTTCCTGTATCAACCGATTTCCAGCTCCATGTGCACAAGCCATCAAGAACATGCCTAACATCTCGTGTATAGACATTCCACGTGTGGGTTTAAGCCCATACTTTTCATTTAAGTCATTCGATAGATCAACAAAAACGACTTCCTCAATCGAATTTTTTTATAACAACGAGTCTAGATGTACGACAAGGTTCCTTGCATAGGTATTTTTGGTAATACATTAATATCAATTTACCCGCTATTTGACATAAAGCAGTCCATTCCTTTCCATCTTGCTCCCTCTGTATTTCCTCCAGTTCTTCTTCATCTTCATCATCTGACGAATAATTTGGATAAGGATCTACTATGTCATTAGAGTTTGAACTCTCTATTTAACTGAAAATGAAAACATAAGTAAAAGAGGAGTTAACTGAAAGCTTTACAAATTCATTCCAATGGTCAGTTGTGGAATTTAAAAAGAACTGGAGGATATTGAAGCTAACTAAAAGCTATACAAATTCATACGCTCGAATAGTCAGTTAACTGAAGCTTAACATTTAAAATAAATGTTACCTGAAGCTTAACAATAGTAAGCTTAACAAACAAAATCTTTAATTTAATAAAAGTTTAGTGATACAATCACAACATCTAAGCAAGAAGCAATATATAAAGTTTACACATAAAATCATAATAAAGTTTACACATATAATCACAATATTCGAACACGGAATGATAGAAAGACTCAACCACAACGATACATTATCCATTTTTCTTAAGGTATAACTGGTAGTTAAACTCCAACCAAGACTTGCGAGCTTCATCAGTAGGCATCCCCAAAAATAACTGTGGGTTATTTTTTTGCGGAGTATATTCATAGTAAAACTGTAAATTCCACTCCCAGCTAGAATATCAGTAATTTGTCCCAACATGCCAATACACTTCTCGATGGATGTCTCATCAATTGCAGGAGATGTAGCAGTGCTTTTGCTAGACATAAAGTCTATGAGAGAGTGTATATCCTCTTTTATTAATGTTGCAGCTGTTTTTTTCTTACTCTTTCTTACTTGACTACTGGTGCTAACACTATCAGTTGGTTTTTGTCTTTTTAGTGATGACTCTGGAAACATAACAGAATTTATATTCTGTAGATCATCACTTTCATCGCTCATTTCATCATTAATATAAGTAAAGTGTTCTTTGTCACAATCATCAATAACATTTATCCCTTCTTCATCGAGATTAAGTCCAATGCCGGTTCTTGATTTGCTGCACGTGCTCTTTCTCCTGTGGCAATAACATCAGCAAACAATGCATCGTAGCGAAACCATATGAGCGAAAGATCTTTGTTCCTAAATTTCTTATATTTTGCATTCTCCTGTAAAAAGAGAAAAAAAAAATTACTTTAATCAAACTGATAGAATTAATAATGACAAAAATAAGAATTACACATATAATAATGTGAGAAATGTACCTTAATTGTTCGCTCCCACCAATCATCATCTGCCATAATCGTATTTTTTGTGGCATCCCATCCTAAACCTGTCTCCCCTCTCATCAACTGTTTAAAAAGTGTCCATTCGTCTTTCATGTAGTCCCAATAATTTTTCATTTTTTTTATCATAGTCTTTCCCCGTCTTCTTACAGAACTCGTCAACAATACTTTTCCAACCATCTTTATTTAAGTAAGTGTTTGGTCTATTTCTTTTTCTAACCTCTTGCTCATACAACTCAAGAAATATAATATGTGTATCATCGTCCCACTTAGCATTGTTTGGCATGATTGAATGTAAATAATCTGAAGAAATCAAAACAACCAAGAAGCTAAGACTGAAGTTGCATAAAGAGAACCTGAAAGAGCCTTGTGTTTGACAGCTTATTCCAGTACAAAAAATATTATATTGTTAATGCCATTGAATTAACAGTGTCTTCATCCATTCCATTGCAACAAAAAATTATATTGTTAATGCCCAGAGAGAAGCAAATTCTGCCTCTTGCGCTAATCTACTTAGGGAGTCAAGCAAAAGTATCCAAATAGAAGCGTTTCATGTCTTCAAGCTATTTGTCGCAAATCACAATAAGCCTCCAGATATTGTTAGCATCTTTAATGCTAACGGAAGCAAACTACTTCGTCTCTTTGCCGATTTTAAGACTGACAAAGAGGACGAGCAGTTTGAGGCCGACAAAGCGCAAGTTGTTAAAAATTATTTCTTAGAAATCTTCAGAATCACAAGAGACCACAGGACACTTATTCAGTAAAAGCTAAGTGAACTAGCAATCAAGCATACGACATAAGTCCCATTAGTTAGAAATGCACTGCCCAAGATGCAGATCGCACTGCCTAATGAACATCTTCTACTCAAAAAGAACAACCAAGAAACTACATATGCTAAGTACTGAAAAAGTGAGGACAAATGGAAAAATTAACAGCAACTTGGCAGTACCAAGCTTTAGCGAACATTCCATAACTTGGGAATGTATGCATCTTCATGGTCATGTAGGCACATCAAATATATGAATGCAGGCTTATATCGTAAAACTAGAGCAACAAAACATAATTCTGGTTAAGCCCAAATGGATTGCTGGTATTATAGTTTGCATACTAGGAAATAGAAATCATAATAACAACTCACAATAAAGGGGATAATAAGAATAAAAATACAGGGGCACTAGGTTTTCTTTCTATTTGATCCGTGATTAGGAAACTAAACTATATCATTGAGAGGAAAACAAGGACTAAACACTAGAAAACCATATAAACTATCATTTTCCTTTCATTTGTTTTTAATTGAATCAGAAAAATAAACTATATCGTTCAGCAGAACTGGAACCAAATAAGAAGTACAACAGGAAGATAACTTACTGAGCTGAAGAGGCTTTCAAATTGGAGCTGAAGTTGGGGAGAGTTATGGAAGAAGAGGAAGAAGAAATCAGAGGCGCTGTCAACAACAGAGAAAAGAAAGAGACCGTATATTTTTAGGTTTTCTAATGAGGGGTAATTTCGGGAATAAGAAATATTATAAGGGATACAAAAGTAATATCCTTGGTCAAACCAATGTTTTGGATTTTTTTAAGCAGATTTTAACTTTTTTTAGTTGTCAAACACTTCCAGAAGTTAAAAAGTGCTTAAAAGCTGGTCAGCTTGACCAGCTTTTAAGCCCATCCAAACAAGCTCATATTCTCTCGGACCAGAATAAAACGTGTATTCTCATCTTTCTAACCTTTCAAAGATGGAAATCACATAACTTTGAACGAATTGACTAAGAATTTCAATTCTTTTCGGGTTAAAGTTCTTTTATTGAAGGAAATTCCAAATAGGCTCTTAAGTCTTAATCAATTCCATATCTTATAGTATCAAACAAGCGAAGAAAAAAAAAGTCAAAATAAGAACTGCTTTCGGAAACTGATGTGGTACAATAAATAAGTTAGATTACATTAAACTGCTTCTTTTAAGGTAGTTGTTAATGAGATTTGTTTCTAAATAGTAATTCAATTTTAACATTGGAGACGTATTACAATTAATAAATCTAGACATTGTCATTAATGAATCTTAAAATAAGAAGAAGAATTTCCATAACATGAATCATTAAGACTGAACTAAAGTAATTTTTGCATAATAAAAGAAGAAGGTATTTCTGTATTCTTAACGTGATTTTACAACTTTAATCTCTAACTATATGATTCCAAATAGTTTCGCTTTGTCCTGTGATTGCGTCAAAACTTTATTGATGAGTATAATAAACTTTTTTTTATAAGGTTAATGAGTTTATTAGACTATATGTTATATTCTATAAAAAAAAAATATTTTAAGGAACTAGTTATTAAAATTCGTCCATATCCATGATTAATTTTATAGTATATATGCAATTAAAAGTTTTTATTTTTATTTTTGGTATGCGTTATAATATTTGACAAATAATATTCGTGCATCGCATGAACGTAGAGACTAGTACTATATTAAAAGCACGAAGGCCCTTAGCGAAATATCATTCGCCTTTTTTACCCTTTTTAAAATAGAATTCACATTAGACAAAATAATCATTTAATTATTTCCCTAATATTTAAAAATAGTCATTTAATTAATTCCCTACTATTTAGGAATAGTAATTTAATTACTATTCCAATAATACTTATAATAATATTGACACACATACTAGGAAACATTTTCGTTCTCTACACAATCAGAAGTTTTCGTCCAACTCTATATTTAGGAGTATTATTAAATTTTTCTTTCTAATTTAGGAGGATCTTTTTTAATTAATAAGAATTTATCCAATTTACACACAATAGGAAGGTTTCAGTTTTTCTTTAGTTAATAAAATTTTAACTAATTCACATACTAGGAAACTTTTGATACTTTCAACTATATTTAAATTTAGGAGTATTAAAATTTCACACTTGAAAAGTTCTTAAATTTTGACTAATTCATGCATACACTAGGAAAATTTTGATATAAATTTTTGACACTGAATTTTTTATAACTATATTAGATGAAGACGAGCTCTTTGAAAACTTATAAGAGCCTTTTTTTAATAAAATTTTCATCCAATTTTATATACGCCTGTAATTCTATAAAAGAAATTACAATTTCATCTTTTCATCATCATAATTTGCCTTGTTGGAGCAACAACTACAAAATTAAGGGTTTTAGGTTTTCTTTCTTTGACCAATTTTTTTATTAGCAGTTGAATTTTGCATTCATCTATTTGTATTAGTAGTTGAATTTTGCATGCACATATTTAACCAATACATCTTATTTTGTTGTTCTGGATTGTAAAGCTTGGTTGAATAGAATCCTTTTTGTATTAGACTGTATGCTTTAACCTTTAGTCAAGTTATTTCTTTTACTATTTTTTTGTGCTCTTATTGGACCTTTTTTCTCCGTTTTTAGTTGCTTTTAATAGTTCTTATATTGGACAAAACTGTATTAAATTATTTTTCTTAAAAGTTTAAGATTTTGCAATTCACTAAAATTTTAGTTATAATTTTTTTATTTGAACTACGTAGGAAGTCCTAATATTTAATACTCTAAAATCAATTAAGATTTTACCTTATGAAAATTTTAAAAATAATTTATTTATTGGAACTAAAAAGCATGAAGGCCCTAAACGAAATGTCATTCGTCTTTTTTACCCTCTAAATATAAAGTTCACACTAGATAAAACAGTCATTTAATTATTTCTCTAATAATTAAAAATATTTTGTTTAATAGATTTCCTAATATTTATGAATACTCATTTAATTATTCTCCTACTATTTAGGACTTTAATTTTTCTATTCCTTTTAGATCTACAAGTCGTGCCTTTTCAAATCCATGTAGATTTAGTGGTATTAAATTTTATGAACTTTCAATTACCACTAGGAAAATTTCGAAAACTTTGTACCACTTATATGTTTAAGATGATCTTTTAATAAAATTGTCATCACATTCAAATTTCATTTAATTTTAGACTTATGATGGTTTTTCACTTTCTACCTCCACTTAAATTTAGCAGTATTAAATTTTAAACACGATTTATCCTAGGAAAGTGACCACTTTGTAACTCCTTTTAGTTTTAGGAGACTTTTTAAATAAAATTTTGGCTCAATTAAATTTCAAGCACTTTCATTTTATACTAGGAAAGTTTCGATCACTTTGTACTCATTTTAGATTAATTTTTTATAAGTTATTAGGTAAACAATAAGCACTTTGAACTCCTTTTTGTTTTAGGAGTCTCTATTTTTTTAAAAAATCTTTATTTATTTTAACTATATATAATTTTACCTTACATAAATCTTTTCCTGTTTCAATTATATATATAATGCTTCTATTAAAGAAGCTTTACTATTCTACTATTTTTATCATCGAAACTTACACAATTTTACTTTAGAAAGTGTCAAAAAATTTGCACTGAACAAAATAGTTATTTAATTATTTTTTTGAATATTTAGGACTTTAATTATTTCTTAAATATTTAGGACGTCAAAATTAATTAAATTTATGTATTCAATTTTTTTCTATTCTGATTATGTACTATACCTTATTTGTAAAAGAAAATCACATTTTTAGATTTAGAAGCTTAAAATTCATATATTACAAATTCAAATTAGGACTTCCAAGTTCCAAGGCACGTAGGCCATATGCTTTGAAATCATACTTTTATCTTCGAACATCAATTTTAGGTTCAAGAGTCTTAATTATTATAGTTTTAAAACTTTCAAAGCGGGTAGACACAAAATATAGTTTCACCTTTCAATCAAATGTTATTCCTTTGATATTTTTATATAATAAAGCAAGTATTAGAACAAACTAAAGGAAAAACTACTAGAATAGATCAAATTTCTAAACATGATTAACACAATTATCATTTAAAACTTATAATTTTTTGTTAATTCTTATATTATAAGGTAAACACATATTTTGAATAATATTTATGTTATTTTTAAAAAATTATTCTCATTAATACGAGGTAACACCCAGCGAACGTACAATAAGATGCAACGCGTACTTTCTATCTATTGATACTATATTAAAAGTAAGAAGCTCCTTAGCAAAATTTTATTTGCATTTTTTATCCTTTAAAATAGCTTTCATATTAGTCAAAGCTATAATTTAATTAATTCTATTATCTAAAATTTTAAAATCAAATAAAATTTTAATTATTAAAACTTATTTTTTGCGTATTTTAACTATATAGAAACTCCTAATATTTAGAACTACATCGTCAATAAATTTTCTTTCACATATTTGACCTAAAACTTTACTCTCCAAAATATTGTTACTATAGTTTTTTATCTAACATTAAATGTATGTACAATATTTTACTCCTATGATTAATATTTTTTTAGTAATTTACATGTATTTTTTCCCACAATAATATACATGCATATTTACTTTTAATATTCTTTGCTAAAATATTTGACATTTTAGTAAATGCATCATAACAAACTTAATCAAATTATTTATCGTTGTAGGTCCAATTATTGTAACTCTAACTATCGCATTAATTTAATAAACAAATGTTTGCATCTACTTTAATATCCATTATAATTTTACATAACTTATTCTTTCACATAAATTTTAATTGATTGACGCGATAAACACTTCATGTAACCTAAAGCTAGTTTAAAAGAAATAGGAGTAGTATATTACTGGAAAAAAAAAAACAGCCGGAATTTAAGGAATGTATAATGGGGAAGAAAAAAAAGGCGGGAATTAGAAGAAATATTAAGAAGAAAATTCAAAGCTGGGAAAAAGGGGAAAAACAAAAGCACCGGAAAACGCAGCAGCGTCACCGGAGATCATGGCTTCCGGCTATTTCAGCGTCTATGCCGGTTCAAGTAGTGTGAGAAATCAATCGGCGGAGAAACGAACCGAGAGAGTCACGGGAACCCTAGACTGAATTAGTAATTTACCGGACATAGTCCTCGTTCAAGTTCTATCTCTTTTGCCGACGAAGGATGCTTTCATAACTCGTCTCGTCTCAGAACGGTGTCAGTATCTCTGAACTTCAGTTGATTGCTTATATTTCTGTTTCCCATATGATTTGAACCTTAAAAACTTCATATCCTTTGTGGACTATGCATTTATCGCACTTTTTCAAAAATTAAAATATTTTATCTCGATGTTGACTTGCGTAGATATGATTTCAAAATCAGCCGATGGCTTAATATTGCTGTGGATAACAAAGTGGAAGATGTTATTGTATTCAAGTAGTGATGGCATTTACAAATTACTTCAAATGCATATGCACTTGCTCGTCATTGATAAATTTGAATTTGGGGCATTGTGCATTAGGTAGAGCACTTGCTTGTTATTACGTGGAAGGCTCTGAGAACTTTGACACTTTTCTCAGTAGGGTTAGATGATGAAACTGTTGCGAACTTACTGTTGGGTTTTCCTGCTTTGGGGACTTCGGAATTGCTTTTTGTTAATGGTTTCCGTAAGCGGAAAATTAGACCTTCGAATTTAAAGAAGCTAAAGCTGTAGAACTATTTGCTATTGGATAAGGGAGGTGATCATTAATGGGGATTTTTTGCGCTTTATCTTCAGCATTTGGAGATTTCAGGATATCTTTGATGATCTCAAGTGTTGGCAAGTAAATTTATCCTCCATGGTCAACACTACGGTTACCTTTGCTATTATTTGTGTGGCAGACTCCTGGGTTGGTGTTGCTGAAGAAGAGAGTTGTCATGATTATCGTCAAGTTCAGGGTCCAAGATTATCTTCAAAACTTGACTCGTGCAACTGAGCTAACAATAGAAGCTGCGTTCGTGGAGGTTTGTTTTTTGAGTAAAAATGCCTCATTTGCACTATTGTTTATTTTTAGCGAATAGTTACAGGATATGTACCTCAGTAAGAGAAGAGCCCTCAAATCTAATGAGAAACTTTCTGCAACTGTAAATATTTATGGAAATTTTGTTGTTGCTAAAGTCTTTAGACAATTACATTTGTCATAGCAATATATTAGTGGTGCGAATTACTTTTATTTTCTTGTTTTTTCTTTCTTTAATCTTTACTAGTTTCATTGTGATTATTGCACTAGGTCATGCTCGTGTTGCAGCTCAAAGGAGTGGCGCTTCCATAATTGAAATGCAAATGTTTAATGCTAGAGTTGCATATAACATAGGATAATTTGTGTGGGGTAGCTAGCCTTTTGCAGGCCTCTCCTAACGTGGAGACAATCAACATATAATTGGAATCTATGAACGTGTCTTCCTATAACTTTTGCTCTTGTTGCACTCATTTATTTTTTGATGTTTTACGTGCCCCCCTAGCTCCTCTCCTGACTGAAAATTGTTCTGAATCACCACACTTCAACCATGAAATTGTCATGTTTTCACTTTTAAATGCGAGTCCCATTAGGCTTTGGACCTTTAATTGATCCAGATTACTCATATTCTGTTTCCAGTTTTATTGTTCCTGCCGCTGCCCCTTTGTGCTAGGGTATTTGGGCCAAGGAGATCTTATCAGTTTGGAGAGTTGGATTTCAAACTATGCATTTCCCAATCTCAAGAAAGTTAATGTTGTCTCCTCAACAGGGGTATGTTTGAAGCGCTATGATAGGGTTTTCAAATTTTTTGAATGTTTGCTAAAGAATGCAATCGTCTCGGAGAAGTTTGTTATCATATCACGGAGAAGGAAATGCTGGTTGGGTAAAGAGAACTGTATGTCCATATATTCACGACGATTGGCTAAGAAATTGTCAGATTGTCCAAGATCCCTTACCATTATTATGCCTAGCTTCCACGAGTCAGTTGACCATGACTAGACTGCAAATTCTGGTTCTTGGCGCACCAGAAATGCCGCCTTATATGTTATTTTTTGAATGAATCTTTAACTTGTCTATTTAAGTAATAACAGTTTTTTTGTGAACTTAGTGTTATGTCATACCAAATGTCAAGAATCTTGGGTTCTCATGTAGAGTTGCTTGTTGCACTCTGGCATTGCATATGCTTGGAATTTTCTGTCAACTCTTATTTTCCTGGACCTGTCAATATGAGCAGATCTACAAGCCACATCTTTCTGATTATTAGGTTCTCGAAATGTATTTTCCTACCTTTGTCAAATAGCTTTATGGTTCTTAAATTGGGAAATGGTTCCTTTTTTTGGCTTTTTCATGGAAGAGGAAGAGGTACATACTGTTTATTCACCTCAAATAATTCTTACGCATTGTGATTTATAATGTTGTTGACTGCTTTTACTTGAGATTCGTGTCATAAAAGAGTATTTGATTAGATCTATCTATTTGATTTCCCTAAAATCTTCATTCATGAGACAGACTTGAGGTGGCCAGAGCAGCATTGAGGGTTTTTTTTTTTTTTTTGGGGGGGGG